CTAACTTCCCAAACCGAGCTTAAAACAATTAAATTTTCACGCTAAAAAATTATGATATCAAGTTTATGTTAGTTATAATTGAATTAGTTATGCGATTTAAACCTTTCTATTTTCAGTAATTAAGATCTTCCAATTCTAATTTCGAAGCATCATCAATACGCTTTTAGACTAATCTCGATAAAAAATATTCAACGTACATGTCATCTTTTTTAAAATCGTCACCTATGTGTCTATTTGAGAGACAATGCATTGGGTTGCTCTCACCTCCAAATATGGAAGTGGCCACCCTATGAACCATGAGAAAGGCCCACTATTTGTTCTCTAATTGGTAATTCAAGGGTCATTACTATAGCAAGTCTTTAATTAAAAAAAGCTTAGAAAGGCTTTTTTATTATATACATACATATATACATATATATATATATATATATTTTTTTTAACATATATATATATATATTTTTTTTTTATTTTTTTTAAAAAGACAAAGAAAAAGAAAAGGTTTCTGTTGTATCAAAAATACTTTTTCCCACTTAATATGGTTTTGTTTTTGAAATTAATTATTATTATTTATTTATATTTTTTGGTAGAATTATTTCTCACCTTTAATATTGTCCAAATTATATATAAAAAAAAAGAAATAGACTAGAAGAATAATTTGGAGGTATACCAACAAGCATCCTTTCTCTGCTTGCCTAGGCTTTTATGTGGGCCTGCCTTATAATCATGGATGACATGGGTCATTCCATACATTAAGACAAATGGATGTAATTGGGCCCATTGTTGACATGACATGGCATAAATTGGGGACAATGTTGCTATGTCCCACCATCATAAATGTTATGCAGTGTGACAAATGGTGTCTTGAAAAAGTAAGCATTAGCTAAGAGGTTGATGATATGAAATTTGATAAATCACAATTTAATAGTGAGTATTTTCAAAATAGTTGTAATTATCAAATATTAGAATAAAATAAATTTGTTCAATTATTTGACAAGTGAGTTGACATTATCTTTCAATGTAATTGATTTTTCTATTGAAATTTATTGTTTTAATTGAGATCTAAATTAATTAACTTCAATAGAAAAATTAATCACATATAATAATTATATCGACTCACTTATTAAGTGAATCGCTAAACTTTAATCTAAGTGAGAAAAACTCTTGTATGCCAATGGTTTTTCATGAGAATTGACAAATTGACTTCTTTTGTATTTGAAGGGTGGGAGTAAGATCACATAGCAGTGAGCTTGTGTTTGAACAATAGGTGAATAAAATGAGATTTGTACTAGAACTCATATTCTCAGTATAAAAAAAATAAACAAATAAAAAATTTGTTCTATGTTCGTCCTAACATGGGTTGTTTATGAAAATTCAGTAATTGACTTCTTTTTTCATGTTGGTATTTGAATAGAAGGAATAAGATAAAAAAAATCTGCAACATGTAACAGTGAAATTCAAATCCAAACATTACGTGATTAATCCACCAAATCAACCTTTATAATTGAATGGAATTGTGGTAAGATGATTTGCCATACTAGATGATACCATTTCATCATTATATCCTCACAAAATTCCAAAATGACAAAAAGAAAAAAAAGGGGTATGAAAGAGAAATAAGATTTGGACTTGTGCTTTAGCCACATATCTAATTATTGTTTGGAAACAATTCCATTTTTGTCATTATATTTGAAGTTTCAAAAGCTCCCCCACCAAAGATCCCATTTGTTTCACCTGAGGCATGGAGTTTAAAAAATATATATGTATGAGTCATTTTCTGACTATACTGCCAAATAGATACTGAGCTGGAGAATACCGACATAATAGATCAAGCCCGAACGACCTGTCACAGAAAGAAGAGATTCCAGCGGTGGTTCGTCCATTCAGGGGTACTCCGACGATCAAGTCAATTATCTCTCAAAGATAGCAAAAATGCTTAACTCCTTATTCAGAATACAAAAAGCATACCTTAGACCCACAAGGGTGCTTTACTTTTATAACCAACACTGACCTGATCCCTGTAGAAGCTTAGCTTCAATAGATTCTGGCTCAATGCCTATCCAGGACTTTCAAATAGATAAAGATAAACTCCCAAAGAGTTTTATCCTTATCCATGCTAAAGTCCTCCCTCATTCTAGGACTCTTGTAACTTATCCGCTCATTTTGGATTCCAGTATCTTCGCAGATAACCTCGGCCTAGCTGAGATTACCTTGGCGTCAAGTCAAAAACACGTGGCACCTCGGCTGGCACTTCGGTGCCACCTCGGCTGGCACTTCGGTGCCACTTCGGCCACGTGTTACTATCCAAAAAATTTGTCCCCACAACTGCCCTCTAGGTTCTATTACCTTGGTATCCTGAGGTGATGGAACCTATATCATTTGAACCCATAGCACGTCGGCTAAACTTGCTCTATCATTTGTTACCGAGGTCATCATTTGTCGACTCCATATGACCAAGACCTGTAATCTGTTTTCACCAATACTTTAGAACCAGTTAACCAAGTTTGTTCAAGTTATTTAGTTGAGATCATTCCCTAGCCGAGGTCTTTGCTTCATTAAATCAAGGACTCCAAGAGTTTTATCACGTGTATGAGCTGTCACACATGGTATTTCAATCGGTTTTGCTACGCGTCCCTTTCCCACTGAACTGTACCTGACACGTGCCATCAAGTCACGTCACATTTGAGTGCCCCGCCTGACAGGCACGTCGTCCAAGGCTCATTCAATACCATTTTGCCGCCTTCTCCGTGTTTTGACAAAAACCATTTCCCTCTTTCCGTCTTTTCACTTTACATCTTTGATTTTGCACAAATTTTCTCTCTCTAATCCTCTTTCTCCCAAACCGCCATTATCGTCTTCTCAAAGCTCTCCGCAACTACTCCGTTTGTCTCCTCTGGCGAAACACTCACCGTCTTGTTACTTGTACCACCTGCGTTCAACTCCGGCCTCACATTCTCTGGTAAGCCACTGCTTCCCCTTTAATCAATCTGTGTTTTCTTTCAAATTTATGCTATGTTTGTATATGGCCATTGCAAATATGTTCATGCTCTTTATTTGCCATCTTTTTTCATGATTCTGATTTTGTATAATCGTGTTTGCTTACATACACACACACATACACACATGTTGTCATACACTTTGACGTTCTTGTTAGCTTGTCACTGTTCTTGTTCTTGTGCACATTTGTATTTCATGCAATGTTCTTGAACCCCTTCTGTTTTTCTTAAGTCTGAATCTCTATTCTTCTCTGTTTTCTTGCTGTTTTTCCAGATTCATGCCTTTAATCCTTCTGTTTAGTAACTCTAGGATTAGGATTTGCTTTAGAACTCCAAACTCTAGGAAAAATTGAAACAAATTCCATTCAGATCCTAAAAAACCCTTGCCCCAGCATATGTTTAGGTTTTGCCGAGGTCCTTAAAATCTTAACAAACCACTTCCTTTTGCAATCGGACACTTTTTCCCCTTAAGCCAACGTCATGGGTATGTGGAGGTGGAAGGTAGACACCCCAATTAAGCTAGAATACTTTAGGCAGAAGTTCGCCATCCCTGCCGATGTCCACCTCAGGCTGGCTGGGGAGGAGGACTCCATCATGCCTAAGGACGACTCCGTGCCCTTTCTAGTCGTAGCCTTCGTAGAATGTGGACTTAGACTTCCTCTCGATATTCTCTTCTGAGAAGTCCTACACTACTACAAATTGAACCCAATGCAGCTTGCCATTAACTCCTACCGAGTTATCAATGGTATAATTGCCTTAGCTAAAAGAGAGAATGCTAGGGTTACCTTTGCCGACATCCAGCACTGCTATACCATGTGCGGCCTTAAGTCAGAAAAAGGCTGTATTTACTACCTTAAGCCGAGGTCAACAGAATGCAAAATCATTGCCGACCTTCCTGATTCCAACAAGGGCACCGGGGATGATTATTTCATCGTCTCGGGCAACTGGGAGTTCCTTCCAAATGACGATCTCCACCTTTACCCTCTAAGTCGTACACTGTTCAGAGAGGGAGATGGTAAGAGCTAAATGTTAATTTTTTTTGCTTTCAAGTCTTTTTTCTTGGATATTTTTGTATGTTCTAACGTCTGTTTGGTTTTGTTTTGCAGTTCTTTCTCAGTCCCCAAAGGACTTCCGCAAAAACTTCTTTCTCAGTAAAGATTTGAAGAAGTTGTTGGACCTGCCTATTAATCAGCGCAAGGCTCCTTTGTTGCTCGACTTTATCCCGACGTACAAATCTGTACTTCCCGACTTCCTAAGAAAAAAGAAAAACATGTCTCCTCCATCAGCAACAACTCCTCAATCCGAATCATCAAGGCTTGACTAAGGATCAACATCTGGTCTTGTGGAACAACCATCAACCTCCGCTCCACAACTAATCCCACCTTCCCAACGCCAAGGCCGACGTCGGGCTCCACTGTAAGCTCCAGAAGTAGGACTCGAAGCTGACGACGCCGAAGTGCTGAAGCGTCATCTTTCGACCCAACAAATCCACCAACAGCTCTTCCAGCAATCGATTTTGGTACAAGGGTCACAGTCGCCGCCTCAGCTAATGAGATGGGTCGTAAGAAGGCCGTTGCTGTAACAACCCTCGTTACTGTTTACCGATAAACACTGATTACCGTTAAACTGAATTGATTATGACTGATAATTGGACTGGTAAAAGTACTGAACTGACTGACTGAAATTGGAAACCGAATTGATTGAATATATGTTAGTTAAATTGCATTCTATCTGTTTGACTGTATGATTATCTGTTCATGCTTATATGTTTAAACTGCTAATTGAAGGCCTTATCGGCGGCCGAATTAGAAACTCCGCTCCACAACTAATCCCACCTTCCCAACGCCAAGGCCGACGTCGAGCTCCACTGTAAGCTCCAGAAGTAGGACTCGAAGCTGAAGACGCCGAAGTGCTGAAGCGTCATCTTTCGACCCAACAAATCCACCAACAGCTCTTCCAACAATCGATTTTGGTACAAGGGTCACAGTCGCCGTCTCAGCTAACGAGATGGGTCGTAAGAAGGCCGTTGCTGACGATCTTCTGGCCGACATCCCCAACATTATTACCGTTCAATCTTCACCATCCCAGTCTCAACCAAAGCCAAAGCTAAAGAGGCTGAAGAAAGTCCAACCCAAGGCAACGGTGACTCAGATTGACACTGAGGACACCTTGCCAATTTCAAAACTGGTCGAGAGAGAGAAGACCTCATCCGCCGCCGAGAAGAGGCCCGCTGAGGCCGAGCCCTCAAACTCTACCAGGTCAAAGAGGCCAAGGTCGGGGTCTGCCACAACCTCGGGGTCCCTAAAATCGAATACCCCCTGGGCCCCTCCAATTACAATCGAGGACAAGCAAGTTAGACCCAGCGACAGCGCGACTAACATCGAAGTCGGTGTTGCCCTCTCAACTGCCTTACTCCTCCCAAAAGACCTCAAACGCAACGCCGAGGTTAGCAAAACTGAAAACTTCGCTCTGATGTTGCAGCATTCCGTTCAAGTAAGCCCCTAACACTTGGTATTTTTCATCCTCTGCTTTTCCATACTTAGAGAGAATTTTACTAACTTTTGTTTTGTCCATTTCTTCTAGGCAATCTAGCACGCCTACTCCTTCACGATGCAGGCTTTCAACATCAAGAAGGAGTTGGTCAATAAAACCAAGGAGGCTGCTAATTTGTTGAAGACCGTCAATAGAGTCGAGGCCAAGATGAAGACTTTGATGGATCAGGCCAAGGCGATGAGGCTGAGGAAAGGGCTGGCGCTGCTGAGGCCATTGCTAAGGTGCACGAAGCTGAGAAAAAAGAGGCTGAGGCAAAGACTGCAGAAGCCCAAGTCGAGCTTATTGCTGTCTTGGCCATAAAGGACGCCGAGATAAAAGCGGCCCACGAGAAGGCATACACCGAGGGGGCAACCGGCGTCTGTGAGGACTATAAAAAGCAAGTGAAGCAGACATGCAATAAGGGTTTCACCCTTGATTGGATGGCTACTTTAAAAGAGTTGGCTGTCTCCGAGGATTCTCCTCTCAAGAATGCTAGCAACCTTGTCCTGCCATTCCCTCCCTCTCTAAGCCAGTTCGAGGATGAAGTTGAGTCCGAAGATCAGGTTGAGGCCGAGAAGAACGAAGAAGCTACTGGGGCCAAGTCCCCGACTCTGAATGGGCAAGTCTTAGACTTGACTCAGGATGAGGTCCAAAAGACCACTTCTGAGGCTGAGGTCGAGGCTGCCAACAAAAGTATTGATGATACACTTCGTGAAATCGACGTTGAGGTCCAAGTCGACAAATTTGCCCAGCTGTCTGCCGAGGCTAACACAACGCCAACTACCGAGGCAGGGCAGACTGTGGAAAATACATAATCTTTTGGTTTTTCCTTCTTTTAATACTTGCTCTCTTTTGGACAGCTGTAAATCTCTTTTGCTTTGAACAATGTTAATTTTGTATTTGGCCGACGTGCCACTTTTGTAATCTGAACAAGTAGTCTCTTTGTAGGTCGAAGTGCCTTTTTTCCCTTTGAATGCAAGTCTTCTTTTTTGACCAGGTGTTTGAATGCTTGTTCTTTCTTTACTGTCTTGCATGCTTCCATACTTAGAATATTTTGCATGTCTTCAAGGTACACCTTAACTGTGCAATCTTTTCGGGGTGAAATACCTCAGATATATCCACTGACTTGTTCATCTTGGTCTTGTTTTAACACTTGAAAACATTTTGTAGAAATATTTTCACAAGTATTTATCTTGGTACTTCACTTTTAGTTAACAAGACTTCTGTCTTCCACGGTAAACTTGGCAAGTACGTAGATACTTCTTTCAACATTACCTCGGCTTAACTTCAACTTGTAAATTTTCTTTAAAATTTCAACAAATGTTAAACCAACTTTCTTTGAACATAACCTTGGTTTAACTTTAACTTGTAAATTTTCCTTTAAAATTTTAACAAGTGTTTAACCAATTTCCTTTCAACATGACCCTGGCTTAATCTTCAACTTGTAAATTTTCTTTAAAATTTCAACAAGTGTTGAACCATCTTTAGCATGTAAATTTCAACTTCCAAGCATTATTCTCCAATTTCTGCCTCCTAATGTGAACTTAAGTTTCACTTATGTTCACATTAAGTATATAACTATGATCTTGGTGCCGATGTCAGATTCAAATAGAGACTGGCCGAGGTTATCAACCTCGGTTTTTTTGTTAATCTAACTGACATGTACTTAATAAAGTTTTAATTCTGTCGACACAACAAATCTATGTTAATTCAACTTAGTTCAACTTGATTATATGCAAGTATAATTCAGCTTTGTCATATAATAAGTCTAATTCATTCATCATGTTTCAATCAGAAACATCGCTGACTTAATTCAACTCTATTATATGCAAGTATAATTTAATTCTACTATATAGTAAGTCTAAGTCATTCGTCGTGTTTCAATTAGAAACATCGTTGACTTAGTTCAACTCTATTATATGCAAGTATAATTCAGTTTTGCCATATAATAAGTCTAAGTCATTCGTCATGTTTCAATTAGAAACATCGCCGAGTGACTGATCAATTATTTTACACAAGTTTGAGATAAAAAATCGAGCTAAGATTTTATTAATTACTTCGGCTAATAACAGAAAAACTTAAAAACAAAAAGAAATCTTAATAATAGAAAAACTTTAGGTTACAAGTATTCCAAGGTCTTGGCAATTCTTTGCCTTCACTGTCTTCAAGCCGGTATGCCCCATTGCCCAATACCGAGATGGTTCTATAAGGTCCTTCCCAATTTGGGCCAAGTTTTCTCTCTCTGGGATCCTTCTTGTTACCGATGATTTTTCTCAAGACAAGGTCCCCAACTTGAAACTCTCGTGGGTTGACCTTTTTGTTGTAAGCCTTGGCAAGCTGCTGCTGGTATGCCCCCAGCTGAATTGCTGCTTTCTCCCTTCTTTCTTCCAATAAGTCCAGATCTCGGGCTAAAAATGCATCATTAGTCTCATTCTCTACTCCCTGGGTTCTGATCCCTAGGATGCCAACCTCTAGTGGAATTACTGCCTCTGTGCCATAAGCCATGGAAAATGGAGATTCCCCAGTTGATCTTCTCGGCGTAGTCTGATATGCCCAGAGTACACTGGGCAACTCATCCACTTACTTTCCCGTTGCTGCTTCCGGCCTCTTCTTGATCCCATCCAAGATAACTTTGTTGGATGATTCTGCTTGTCCATTGCTTTGAGGAAAATTTGGGGTTGAATAGTAATTTTTGATCTTGTATTTTGCACAGAAGCTTTTGATTAGCTTACTGTCAAACTGTGTTCCATTGTCTGCTATTATTGCTCTTGGGGACCCAAACTTGGTGATGATGCTCTTCCATATGAAGTTTTTTACATCAATGTCCCGAATTTTTGCAAAAGGTTGAGTTTCAACCCACTTGGTGAAATAATCTGTTGTCACTAGCAGGAACTTCCTTTGTCTAGTTGCTTGAGGCAGTTGTCCAACAAGATCCATGCCCCATTGGGTAAATGGCCAAGGACTGGACACTGGGTTCAAGTCTACTGCTGGTTGGTGTATCAAAGGTGCAAACCTCTAACACTTCTCACACTTTTTGACATAGGCTTTAGCATCTTTCTGCATATAAGGCCACCAGTACCCCTAAGTAATGGCCCTATGAGCAAGTGACCTGGCCCCAGTGTGGCTTCCATATACTCCTTCATGTATCTCATACAAGAAGTCTTCAACTTGTGAAGGATGCACACATCTCAGAAGGGGACCAGTAAAAGATCTTCTGTAGAGATGCCCATCTTCTGTCAAGCTGAATCTTGCCGACTTTAGTCTGATCTTGTGTGCTTCTTTATGATCATCTAGCAATTTTCCCTCTTTAAAGAATACTATTATTGTATCAATCCAGTTTGGTCCCATCTCCACACACATTGCTTCATGCTCTGTGTTTAGTGGTTCTATACTTGGTCCTAGCAAGTAGTCAACCATTATTGTTCTTGCTTCTTCTAGTTTCATTGCACTATCCAGGTTGGCCAAGGCATAGGCATGGCTGTTGCCATCTCAGCTGACTTGCTATAGTCGGCAATTTTGGAGCAATGCCATCAATCTACCAACCTCCTTTATATAGGCCTCCATCCTTTCATCTCGGGTAGCGTATTCACCTATTGCTTGGTTGACGATAAGACGGGAGTCACAGAAGACCATTACCTTGTTGGCTTCTATTGCTGCTGCCAACTTTAAGCTTGCTATCAATGCATCGTACTCTGCTTCATTGTTTAAGGCCTTAAACCCCAAGTGAATGGATTGTTCTAGCATCTGTCCATCCGGTGATACCAGCACTACTCCTACCCCCGCTCCTTGTCGGTTTAAACTTCCATCAACAAATAGGTGGAAGGAGTCACCGATGTAAATATTGCAGGGCCTGAGTTTTTCCTTTTTCTCTATTTGGCTACCCCCAAATGGGTTTCTTCTTGTTCTTTTGGGCATCGCGTACCTCAGCTCAACGGAGCCCGATGTGTGATGGCGCTTGGTGTGAACTGGGCCACGAAGTCGGCTAAGACTGGGCCTCTGATTGCTGTTCTGGGTCTGAATTCCAGGTCGTATTGGCCCAACACCACTGCCCATCTAGCTATCCTACCTGTTAGATCTCTTTACTGCAACAAGGACTTCAAAGGATGCTCAGTTAGCACCACAATCTTGTGGGCTTGAAAGTAATGATTCAATTTCTTAGAGGCCATTACCAAAGCTAGTGTTAGCTTTTTCCAGGGGTAGATATCTGGTCTCTACATCTGCTAGGGTTTTACTTACGTAGTAAACTGCTTTCTGCTCTCCCTTATTTTCCCTGATTATTATTGCACTTACTGGATGTTCTGAGACCGTCAATTATAAGAACAGCTCCTCTCCAGGTACTGGATTTGAGAGTACTGGAGCTGTGGTCAAGTACTTCCTCAAGTCGGTCAAGGTGACTTCGCATTCCTCTGTCCATAAGAAATTTGTGGCTTTTTTTACTAGATTGAAGAAAAGTTTGCATTTATCAGAACTTCTGCTCATGAATCTGTTTAGGGCTGCAGCCCTTCCGGTCAATATCTGCAGTTGCTTTGTCGACGTTGGGCTTTCTAACTCCAGAATGGCCTTGATTTGATCTAGGCTTGCTTTAATGCCCTTTCTGGTGACCAAGTATCCTAGGAACTTCCTTGACCCAACTCCAAATGCACACTTCGATGCATTGAGTCGGAGCCGAAATGTCCTTAGGATGTTAAAGATTGTCTTGAGGTCGGCCAGATGATCTTCAGGTTCCTTGGTCTTCACGACCATGTCATCAATGTATACCTCCATAGTTTTGCCAATTAGATGTCTGAACATCTTAGTCACCAATCTCTGGTAAGTTGTTCCTGCATTTTTCAATCCAAAATGCATTACTTTGTAGCAATACAGCCCTTTTGGGGTGACAAATACAGTCTTCTCCTCATCTGCGGGGTACATGGCTATCTGATGGTACTCTCTATAAGCATCTAGGAAGCTCATCCTTCCATGCCCTGAAGTGGCATCCATCAATTGATCAATCTTGGGGAGTGGGAAACTGTCCTTGGGACAAGCCTTATTCAGGCTGGTGACGTCCACGCAGACCCTCCACTTCCCATTCTTTTTCTTTACAACCACCGTGTTTGATAACCATGTTAGGTAATTCACCTCTCGAATGGCTCTAACCTCCAAAAGTTTATCTACTTCCTCTTCTACTGCCTCAACATGCATTAATGTCAGCCTCCTTGCTCGCTGGATGATAGGTTTGGCCGACCTGTCCACATTCAGTCTATGGCAAGTGACCTCGGGTCAATGCTAGGCATCTTGTATGGTGTCCATGCAAACACCTCAAGGTTTGCTCTCAGGAATGTCTAACTCCATTTCTTCTTTCTCGGCCAATCCTGAGCCGAGAAGGAAGTAGCGCTCCTTATCTCCTTGTTGGACTAAGATCTCCTTCAGGGGTTTTTCACTTTTCTCGACTGGTTCTTTGCCGACGTTCTCAAGGACTTCTATGTCCTTATCTTCGATCTCTGCTGCTTTTGCTTCTCGTATGTTATAGGTGGATTTCATTGCTGCCATGGAGCAATTCTTTGCCTGCACTTGATCCCCTCGGACCTCCTCAATTCCATGCTCTATTGGGAATCGCAATAGTTGGTGCAATGTTGAGGGAACAGCCCCCATTACATGCAGCCATGGCCTTCCCAAGATAGCATTGTAAAGGGAAAAAGTGTCAATTATTGTGAACTCTATTTTTACCTTCTTGGTGCCAGCTTGTACCTCTAAATTTACTGCCCCCAGGGGCCATGTTGGCGTTCCATTGAACCCGACCATTGGACCATTGGATTGCTCCAAATCATCTTGATGAAGGCGAAGCTCTTTGTAACATCTGACATACATGATGTCATAAGAGCTGCCCTGGTCGATCAGAATTCGCTTTACCTGGCATTCTCCAATCTGGAGGGATATTACAAGGCATCGTTGTGTGGATGTTGCACCATCTCCAGGTCATCTTCAATAAATGACACCATTGGTCCTTAGCACTCGTTTGCCCTAGGTCTCTTCTGCCTGACCTGATACACAAGTTGCAGGTGTTTTACTTTCTGAGTTTTCCCCCGTATCTCGTTCTCATTCACCTTCGAGTGAATCACATCGATCACTCGAGGTTTGCCTGCTTGTGGTTGCGGTGCTGGTGGAGGTGGTGCTGCCGGTGCCTGAGGTAGTCTCGCTTGCTCTTTTCTTGTCCTGGTCTCATCTATCAGGTCTCTTAAATGACCCTGTCTTACCAGGTCTTCAAGATGTGCCTTTAGGGCTTTGTACCCTTGAGTTAGATGCCCATCCTCATTATGGTAGGCACAATGTTTCCTCATACTTCTTCCCATAAATTCACCAGGAAGCTTTTCTGGTGCTCTGTAATAGGGCTGATTCCGAATTCTTTCCAAGACTTTGTAGACCGGAATTCGGAACACGGTTGTGACTGCCTGTGCAGTCCTTAGTCCTGTTTCTTGCTAATTGTATCCACCATTACCTCGGCCTCGCTTCGGCAAGCCATTTTTCTTCTCTTGTTTCGATGCCTTTGTCCCCGGCGTGTCCTCCTCGGCCCTGGCAAAATTTTCTATCCTGGCCATAAGTTCCTCCATACGTTTTGGCAATGTATTTGCCAGTGATTTTCGAAATAGGCAATCATCTTTCAGGCCGTTCTTAAAAGATATGACCGCCGCCCCTTGGTTAATACCTTTTGGCATAGGCTCTAAGGCTTTCATCCTCACCAATTCTTAAAGCCATCAGGACGTCCACCCTCAATGGCTATAGTTTGTTAGTCACAAACCTGGCCACGAACATCTCGGCCAGGCCTTCCCAGCTTTTCACAGTTCCTTTCAGCAACTTGTGAAACCAGTCTGATGCGATCTCCCCAAAGGATGAGGGGAACACATTGCAGAGCAACGGTTTGTTCCCGGTGTATAATGCTATTGAGTTCAGGTACAAGCTGACGTGAAAGTTAGGGTCAGACTTACCGTCGTATATTTGGAATCTCGGCATGTGGAATCTTTTTGAGGCCTCAAACTTGTCCAATTTAACCGAGAACGGTGTCCTTAGCTTGACCGGTGATGTTACCTCGGCATCTTGTCGCTTCCTCTGGAGGTAATCCCTCAGATCCTCCTTGGTTCGTCTAGGAGCTCGGCTATCAACAGAGTTCAGCCTTTTTGGTGTGTTACTCCCAGTGTCGTTATGAGTTCTCTTAGACTTTTCTCCATTAGTTGCGTCGAAACACAGTTCATTCCCTTGAACATACCGATGTTCTTTGGGGTCGGCTTTCTTGGTACGATACGTCCTCCGAGAATCTCCCCTTCTTGACTCTCCTCACCTGACCTCCCTTGAAGGCCGGTGAGAGTGTTCCTCGGTCCTGGTGTACTGGGAGACCGTAGGGACAGCTTTCTGCCCCCTTTTTTGGGCATTCTCCTTGGCCGCTGGAATCGGCGTGTCTTGTAACGGGAATGACAGCTACATGACGTTGTTTTGCATCATGAAATTGACGACCGACTGTAGGTCCGCCAATTTGTTCGCCAGTCCCTTCATCTCGCCGTCCCTCCGTAGGTATCTATCCTTCAATACCTGGAGGTTGTCCTTGTTATAATACCCGCCCCTGTCAGATTTCTTTGGTATGTCGCCCTCCTTGCCGTCGTCTTTCTCTCCAGGATTCTGGCCCTGAGTTTCTTTGTTGCAGTTATCTTCCTCCACATTAGGGTCAATGTACTTACCACTCCCAGTAGGGATGTCCTCCCCAACCTTTTTTTTTGTCCGTCGTTTGTCATCTATTCTTCTTTCTTTCCCACAAACGACGCCAAATTGTGTGAGTAGTTTTTTGACCACACTGCCAAACAGATACTCAGCTAGAGAACACCGGCAGAATAGATCAAGTCCGAACGACCTGTCACAGAAAGAAGAGATTCTGGGGTGGTTCGTCCACCCGGGGGCACTCTGACGATCAAGTCAGTTATCTCTCAAAGATAACAAAAGTGCTTAACTCACTATTCAAAATACAAAAAACGTACCTTAGACCCACGAGGGCACCTTAGTTTTATAACCAACACTAACCTGATCCTGATCCCTGTAGAAGCCTAGCTTCAATGGATTCTGGCTCAATGCCTATCCAGGACTCTCAAATAGATAAAGATAAACTCCTAAAGAGTTTTATCCTTATCCAGGCTAAAGTCCTCCCTCATTCTAGGACTCTTGTAACTTATCCGCTCATCTCGGATTCCGATATCTCCGCAGATAACCTCGGTTTAGCCGAGATTACCTCGGCGTCAAGTCAAAGACACGTGGTACCTTGGCTGGCACTTCCGTGCCACCTTGGCTACGTGTTGCTATCCAAAAAATATGTCCCCACAATATATTATGAAGCATGCATTTGTAGACAAATACATACTTGCTTCATTGCCACACAATTCTATTTTGAGCTTATAAGCTTATCAAATTAAGTAATTAAACCATGAGATTTTAAAGTCTAGCCATGCAATATATATATATATATATATTTTTTTTGATAGTTAATTGAATTAAAATACTAATGTCCGCTTCAAAATAATTATTATGTTATCACTGGTTAATCATTCATATTTTAATAATGAGAGAAAAAAAAAAGAAAAAGAAGTAGAATCATACTATGAATTAGGAAAATCACATATCTCATGTCATATACTATTAGCACACTTTTATATTAAGCGATATTTTGAAAAGTTGATTGATTTTTTAATTTTTTTAATTTTTTTTGACAAAAAGCTAAGTTGTTTTGGGTAAAAAAGTTGACTTTTTTGGCTAAAAAAGTTAAAAAGTCAAAAAGTTGACTTTTACCATTGTTCCCAAAACGGCCTTAAGAGGTCGTTTGACAATGACTTTTTTAGTTAATTTTTTGATTTTTTTGATTTTTTTAACCTAAAACTTTTTTATTTGTTTGGTTTTCTCGTTTGACTTTTTAACTTTGTAATGACAATTTTTTTTTATCTTTTTGTGATTTTTGACTTTTTATTTTTTTAATTTTTTTTATCCTTTTGTAATTTTTTATTCCAAAAGAAAACCAAACCGGGGCTAACTTTTGTAACTTTCTAGGATCGATGCACTCAATGGATTTTGGATATTCTATTGACAAGAGTTCACATGTAAACAATCGAAAGCTATCATTCTTTGTTTGACAATAATTATAAAAGTTATTTTTTGCTTTTTTTTTTTTTTTAAGTGATTTTTAAATTTTGTGTTAATTCCCTCCCCCTAAGTCCTTCTAGTCTAAAAGGATTTTAAAAAGTGAAAAAAATAAATTTCTTAAAAAATATTTTTCCATTTTTAATAGAATTTTATTTATTTATTTTAATTTAAGAATTTTAGAGGCTTCTGATCTAATAGGATCTAAATTTTAGGTCAATGTCCCAATAGTTTTAAGAGGCCGGATTTCACATGATTTATTGTTAAAATATAGGAGCGATTGCGAAACTTTTATTGTTAAGATGGTAAGATTTTCACTACAGAAGTTCTATCATAATCAAATTTAATAATGTTATGCATATAAAAAAAATTATCAATTTTTTTTTATTAGTGAATACAAAAATTGTAAGATTCACATTAATAAATATACATCAGATCTATTATCTTAATGTGCTAAGTGGTAAAAAAAACTTTAATAAGAAATTGATATTATATTTTTCTTTTTCTTTTTTACTTCAATCTCTCTCTTTCTGTTTTTATTTTGTACAAATAAATAAATATACATGAGGGAGAATAAGAAAAAATCAAGGCATGACCAATCATAAACTACACCAACTTTTATAGCATCCAATACCTTACACATATAATAACACATTACAAAAACAATGCAAACTTTTCACTTTTTTTAAGAAATGACAAGTGAATGCACTCACCCCAAAACCCCATGACCCCCCACCCCATCTCCCTGGCTTCATCACCCATCTCCTCTCTCTCTCTCCCTCTCTCTCTCTCTCTCTCTCTCTCTCTCTCTACAAATATATCATAACAAAAGCCACACAAATTAAATATAAATTTTTATGTATCTTTTTATTTTTGTTGGTTGGAAGCTTGGATCCTCAATTACTCATGCAATTGATGTTGCCAAGTAGGACCCATCTCAAGCCACTCCACAAGTAGTGTTTTTACACAATAAGAAGCAAAGACTGAGATCAGATAGTGAACTTTCAATGAATTAGATATGGGTATAGAATAGATAGGATTGAATTGTGCCTTTCAATTTCTTTTTAGCCCCAACATTCTGGTGTTAGGGAATGGTCCCTCTTGGGGTCCCTGCAATAGTTATAAACCAAGTAGTGGCTTTGGACCCATCTCATAGCCATGTGTTGCCCTCTGGTGAGACCTCCTGACCGGAAAGGCGAGGCAGAGATTGGCCGGCACCATGCCGGAGCATAGGCTGAGCAACCACTTGCTTTGAAGTTGTTGTACATTCCAACAAAGGGTTGGTACCTATAATCTGCCTTGTATTTTCCATCCTCTGTGGCCCAAGATGAGGCATCCCATATGGACCCATAGACCCACATTGGCCTTAGTGGGAAAGTTGCTACACTCTTCCTAGGGTACCTCCTTATGGGCACATCATCCACAAGAAATCTGAAAAAAAATAAAATAAAATAAAATAAAATTGATCAATGTAAGTACAACAAAATCAAGACAAAAAAAAGATATCATTGCCTTTCAAATCAATAAAAATAAAAATAAAGTTCAATAATTGGCCTTATTAACATTCATGAACTAATGAGTATTGTTTGTTCAAATTATTAATGTCTAGTCTCTTTATATTCTAGCCACTAAGTAGGATTTCTTTTTGAATATAACACACAAATCACCTGTCTCCAAATTCTTATTCTGTATTATTTTTTTCTGTACTATGCGATACTCTAAAATTAAAAATCAATTAATTTGTTGTGATAGACGTGATGAATTTTAAATAACAAAATTGATGTATATTTTGTTTCTTCATAAATTCTTATTCATTTTAATGTATAAAAAAATGTAAAAGATGAAAATAGTTTTAACTTTCACTTACATCTACTTTTCAAGATAGTTGTCCAATTACATTTACAAAACATGACCAACATGTCATCATCTTTGAAAACAAATCATATGATTTCTTAGCAATAAGCATATCAAACTTCCTATTTAGATTGAGTAGTATTATGAATAAACAGAATTTTTTTATTGTTGAATATGAATATAGGGGGACTCATATTAATAAATATAAGATATTCATTGTCTTTGGAGTAATCCTATGCATAAAACAAAATTATAACAACACATGGGAACCTTTGTGTTTAGTGGTAAAAAAAATAAATAATAAGAAATCAATTTATGTATAATATTTTCTTTGGTTTTGTGTCTAGTGATAAAAAATTCATTTAAACATAGCATTTTTCAATTAGATTGGTTTTTGAAATTAATTTTCATTCTTTTTCAAGAAGTATGAAAATGAATGCCCTACTTACATGATCTCATTGGGCCTCCATAGTATAGCATAGTGATGGAAACCTTGAGTGGGATCAAACCATAGATGAAATTTCATTTCTCTCCCTATAATTCTTCCATCCCCACTTCCTCTGATGTAAACATTTGTCTGCAATGTGTATGGCTTCCCAAATGTTGTTCCAAGGAATTCTATGTCCACCTCATCATGATACCCTGGATGAGCTTCATTGTTTGATAGCTGCCATTGGAATACAATTCATAACCCACAAAGATTAATATATACATTTAGCACATAATTATTTATAAGATTTAACAAGAATTAAAACTTTTATGGGTTAATTACTCCGAACACCCCTTCACTTGTATCGAAATTTCACTTGCTTTAATTGTTATATTCAATCTCACACTTCCATCCATTTAGAGTTAAATAAGGCTGACGAAAATATATCTTTTGATAATTTTTTATTTGACCAGTCTTTTGTGGGTGTCTTCCTCACCGAACCATTGATATTTAATATGTATATCATTATTACAAACCATATAATATAACATAGAAAAATACCCAAATTGATATATATATATATATATATATGTATGTATGTATGTATTTGAGGGGAGATGGAAAAAAGGAGGGTTAGATATAAAATTACTAAAGACACTAGATCCATTAGCATCATTTAACACTGGATTGACTGAAGGATGATATTGACACTTGACTTCAAGTTTGTAAAGTTGACTGTCACAATTAGAATTACAAGGATCAAAGAGAGATTAGCAGTGTTTGGTGTAATTAACCAAACTTTAATTCAATACTATTTGCTACAAACATGTAATATAGTGCTTGCCCAGGTATTAGTCTCATTAATTAAACAACACATCAGATATATGTGTAGCTAATATGAGTACACAAATATTTTAAAACATGATGAGACTAATGCTAGAACTAATACAATTCACACAATTAGTCCACTTTCCAATTTTCTCACATAGAAAGCTGTTATAACCCCTGCAGTGTAACCAGGCTGCAGCTTGATGGAAGCACCAAAATACCCGGATCGGAACGGGCGAACCGACTTGAACCCACTTCCTGTTACACCAAATCAATCAATAAAATCAAGAAATATCAAATACCCACAAAGAGAATTGAAGTGTAATGTAGTGAATTCAAACATGTGTCCTAATGTGAGACCTGAGGTCCTATCAAGCCATATTGATAATGCATTGTTGTCTAGTATTTGATGCCCAGGACCCCAAAGGTTTCTAAACCCTTGGTAAAAAGTCACAGACCTAAACTTGGTGCTTGGGTAGTACCCTGGTGAGGGTGGCCAATAACCAGCATTGCTTGAAGGGAAAAAAAGAATGAGAAGAAGAGAGAGAAAGAAAGCCATGTATGGAGAGAGAGAGAGAGAGAGAGAGAGAGAGAAGAATTATTGTGATGTGTAAATGCAGGGTGAGAGAGTGAGAGGGGGATAGGTGTGTAGATGGGGAGAGAGAAGGATGGCAGTATGGTTGATATAAATAAAAAAAATTAGTGGGGCCCCTTGTGTAATAAGGTGAAAAGGAGTTTACATATAGATTTATGAATTGACAAAATGGTGATATTTATAAATCGTACATATATGTAAATAGAATCGAGGGTTTGGTAGCATAATTGTAAGACAAAGTAGATAGTACTATAATAAATATTTTGTTCACCACAACAACTTTCCTTTCCCATCTTTATGGCAAAAACTGTTTAGCTTTGGTTGCATATGGGCAAAGAAAAAGTTTAGTGAAGAATATGGTAGAGAGATATGTATATTGTTGAGATTGATTTTGTTTACACACCTCATAAATTTTTGAATAAAACTTCTTTCATTGATTAATTAAGAAAATAGTTTGTCCACTTGGACGGCCTAATTCAAGCTTGTGGCCCATTATGAGTCTCATTTCATTGATCCGATTCGTTATTTTTATAAGATTTTACATGTAGATAATTGATATGGAGAATCAAATTGATCCGATAATTGTAACTACTTTATTTTTTCATATTTATTTTCAAAAAAATACAATGTGCATTTTCAAGACAAATGTGATTAAATTAAGTGCTTACAATTATGAGATCAAATTTATTTTTTTCATGAATAATTTACATAGGGCATCCCAAAAAATTAAGGGATTTAATCATCAAAGAAGAACAATAGGGCCCATAGGCCTAGAGTGAACCGGTCTTGTTGGAGATAAGCCCAACCCTTAATTAAAGTAGCAAAGTTCACTGCTTTAAATGAGGTACATCATATTGTTTTAATCAATCACATAGAAATGTTTTGTTAATTCACATATCTACATTGTATGCATAGATTTTATTTATTTCTAACCTAATCTTAAGCATATAGAGAATGAGAGTCGCTAAGCAGCAATGTTGGATGAACTGGTCATATGATACATATAAGAACTAATTAAGCTCTACTGTCGCACCTCATTTTCTTTCTGATAAAGTCTGGACTTTGGGCTAGAGGCCTCTGTGTGTACTATATCCTCACTGAAAGCAACCTGCATTTATATCTCTCAGTCATTAAAAACACCGACTTTAAAAATTACCCCATCAGGGTTTTCTTTTTGTTTTTCACCTTTCCACCATCCTCTTTGGTGTGTCAGTTTCCAGCAATGTGGGTCAGATTCTGATTTTTTGTCAATCAAGATCTAAGTTAATATGATGTACAATTCAATCTTCAATCAGTGAGGTCCAAATCCAATAATGGAGGTGGTCATATGGTAGTAACCCCAAATGGGACCCTCCAAGGTTTTCTTTGAATATAAGTTTATATGATCGATATATATGACTTGGACAGTAATCCAAGCAATTTTGATAGGGCAGAGAGGTACCAAATGTGTAAAATCTCAGGTTTGAGTATACGAAAAAAATTGATATATATATTTCACCCTTGAGAAAAATGAGGACTAGAGATTTGCATCAATTGATTATGTTAAGAGAAACAACTACATGTTCTTGTCAAATTGTACTGATACATAAATATGGACAGACTTAAATGTTTTGGTGCCAAGTCATGGCTGTCAATCTTTTGTAACTGGTGTCTATGTTTAATGATGCTAGTAGGATTAATGTTGCCCCCTATATTTCTATCTATCTTGGATTATATTGGTTTGATGTTGATAATCATACCTAGATTCGTTCAGTCCCATAAGAACTCTTCTTAAAGTTATATTTGAATTTTGAATTTATGGGGGAAAAAAATTCGCTTGGCGAATTTAAAATTCAAACATGACCTAAGTACAACGTTTTGCATGTTTGTTTTGATTTATCAAATATATATGAGATGGTAAACAAAACATAATAAGAAAATATTATTATTATAACATTATTGTTAATACTAATAGTGAGTGACATGTATTGATTTATATTTTGAAAACAACTTCAATAGCATATTCTTCAAGTTAATGATCTATTTGGATCACACATATGGGTCCTATGAGGCCTCATTTTGGGTGTGAAGCTCTTCCATTCATTTGTGCTGAACATTGTATTTGGTTGCAAGAAGAAAAGAGGACTCCCTTGTAATGTTTACCCACACTAACATTGTATTTGGTTGCAAAAAGTTCACTCACTTCAATTTGAGTTGAAAAAAAGAAGTTATTAGAATTATTATTATTATTGGCAACAAAATTGAAAAAGCAAGTGACCTCTCCCTCCGAAGAAGAAAAAAAAAACCTCCCCCCCCAAAGAAAAAAAAAAAAAAAAAAAAAAAAAAAAGGGAAGAAGAAGAAGGAAGAAGAAGAGATGAAATCTACAATGAAGAAATTAAGGAAATAACAAAGGTACTATAGACAACTTATATTAGTAGACTACCTAAATGGTGATATATTTAAAGTGCTTAGATCATAATATTCTATTAGATAAAATACAAATGTGAGGTGATAATGGCCTTTGCCTTGCCTAGAAATTATCCTCTCATTGATGGGTTGGCCATAAAATCAATCTTGCTCTCTCATCCTAAATTTTTAATTTTTAAAAAAAAAAATAAATTATCTTAGCCAAAAAAGTGATAAAAACAATATGTCATGAAAATATACCAGTAATCATAAAAATACTATTCTAGAGAATTTATATCTCCTCTTACTAAATCTTTCTTATTGATTGATGTGACGTTGAAGAAAATATTAAAAAACGTAGCATTAAGATAATTAAATGATAAGATACAGGTTTAAATCTACTTCTTCTATTTCTGTCATATCTATTGTAATATATAGTGAAGTTATGAAGACGAAGAAGTAGATGTATAAGTTGAAGTAAGCAGTGATGGAAAGGGCTAATTGTGATTGAATAATGCAAAATTGATGTGGAAAAAATCAGATAGGGATTGACGAACAAGAGAGAAGAAAAGCATCTTAGTGATGGTAAAGGAAAGGAATATTTAATGAGTATGGTGACTAGTATAACTTTGGTTGGAATAATCTTGGAGTCAGATAGTCAACACATGGACCATGCCAAGTCTGTACAACTTTGAAATGATTGAATATGAAGGGTGGGAAAAGAGAAAAGAAAAAAAAACAATTGAGCGAGAGAGAGATGCCCTACCGACACTAATTAGAGTATGGGAGTATGAAGATGAACAATTAGATCAAGTTTGGCATGTGTCTAAAAGGATAAAAAGTTAAAAAATTACTTAAAAAGTTAAAAAATTATCATTATTTATCAAAAGTTAAAAAGTACGATGGCAAAACTCTCAATTTTAATTTTTTCCTACACATTAATTTATATAATTTTTTAATACACATTTTTTCATAAAAAATCAAAAAGTTAACCCAAATAATCATATTTTTTTCCTCAATTTTTTAGTCTAAAAAGTTAAAAAAATACACTTATTTAAGACATCCCAAACAACCCCTTAGTGTAAGGGTGAAAACTTTTATTTTGTCTATGTTATGTTTCACATCATCCATTCCCTTGGGTACTAAATGAAATTAGTTTGAGGGGTAGTTATAAATTGGTTTTATTGACTTGATTTAGGACTCGTTTGGGAATAAGTTATTTGAGTAATTTTTTGACTTTTTATAAAAAGATGTACAGAAAAGTAGAGAGAGTGATGTAACAACTTATAGTGAATTTTTGATTAAAACACGAAATTCCTAAACGAGACCTTATTTACCTATAAGTCCTATTTTTTTTTTTTAAAACTATCAATATTCCAAAAATGTCCTCATCTTATCTCATTCAAGACTTAACTGCAAGATTACTATTATCACCTACCACTAAGAGCAATTATCTCCAGTCACTGGCAACAATCTCTAACCTCCGGTGATAATTTCCAGCAACCACCTTTGGCCACCGTGACAACCATCTCCAATCTCCTGCGACTCTCGGCTACATTTTTTGAACCATTTTCTAACAAAAACAATGTTCATTTCCACTATTACTTACTAAGATCTAGTAGCAGCAACACAAAGAGAGAGAGAGAGATGAGGGAAAAAAAAAATAAAACTTTACAAAAAAAAGTTCACAATCAGTCTCACTGTCATAGATCGATAAAAGATCAATAAATTAATCAAAGACACTAGGCAATTTGTAAAAAAATTACATATTTCAAATTTGAACCACTCACACTCATAGTTACCCAAAAGGCACCTCTTCTGATACACACATACAGGACAAGACTGATTGATAAATTTATTGTAAATCTAAGGTAAACGCAGCAGATGAAAAAATTATGGTCATACATTTTTCTACAGAGTCTGAATTGAAGGATCTCGTGGGTAAATCACGTGCTTCCTGAATCTGATCAATCAACCCAGCAATGGAGTGATATTACAGAATGAATATCACCCACACAAGTCACAGTGCAAAATGGCTCTTGATCGTTGTATTTTGGGAGAGAGTCAGTATATAGGTAAAACATACGACATACGTTATTGTTCTCTTAATCACCCATATCCCATATTATATTAGATATGTTGGATAATATCTCATCTATCCATATTAGTTGATATGATAGATATGGATATCCTGAGTTGTTATCCAAGTAAGTTTTGAATTCAAATTCAAACTTACATGGATAAGGTTCAAAAGGTTCAAACGGTCGTGCCACATGGGCGCCCAATTTCTAACATTTATCACTGATATACTTAGTGATAATTTTCACTAAACATTTCAGTGATAAATTAATTACTACGTGATTTGTAAAAAAATTACATATGCCAAATCTAACCAATTCACTCACTCACATTCATTTACTCTGAAAACACCTCTTTTTACATACATACAGAACAAGATAGACTGATAAATCTATTACTAATAAATAAATTTGCAGTATATCTACTTTGAAAAATAAAGAGAAACAAAGAGAAGAGACGAGGAACAAGTGTTGAAAAAAGTCTCGATCTCACCGGCGACCATGTATAATACCAGATTGGTGTCGAAGATAGTAGGTCATAATTAAAAATACTTAGATCTGAAGTCATCGATGAAGTTCATCATCAAAGATAATAGATCGGTGA